AACTCCACATTAGTTGCACATACAACCAATGTAGGACTATATATCTCAACACAAGGTTTATGGAACTGTATATATTGCTGCTGAGTTTTCTTTTTCTTCTTTAATAAAACGACTTCGGGAGTTTTATTCAAGACTTTAATAAAACTAAGCCATTAAAATTGATCTAGTTTTGAGTGATTTGAATAGTTTGTATTAGGTTATAAGTACGTTCAATTCTCATCAATATATTAAAAAAAAAAAGACTTTGGATTTTTCTTTTTATATGACCTCACTTATTTTTATTTGTATGTAGGAGATAATTTTATTTTCTACAACATGAGAAACATCAAACCCTTTATTCAAAATTGTGGATGATATTGTATGTTCCACCTTCTAATTTAACTTCAAGATATGGGTGAAATATATATTTCACGAGTTAAGGGAATAATTAACTTTGAAGGTGTAAAGCGACTTTATCATGAGTTGATGACATGAGAATTATAAGAAGGGACAATAACACAAATGATGTATATATATGATGTGGCTTAGTAAATACAATAAAGTTTAGATGAAGATTTTTTTTTCATACTTGTGATTTTATTAATAAAAATATAACGCATGTATTATTTTTAAATTTTAACGCATGATTAAAAGATTACAAATTATACTCATATTCAAAAATTAATACTACAGGGCCTAAATTATTTTATCTTTCTTCCCCCTTCAAAGTAAAACTGTTTTTCTGATACCTCAAATGCAATCTATTAGAGAATTTAATGGTCATTAAGTTTATTTTTTTGTCCAATTTTATTTCCATGTTTTATTCCAATGAGCAACTATATGTATGCGTTATATAACACATATACAAGAATTTCATGTTTTGTTTGTAAAATAAGGATTTTCAGGTAAGCAATTATCTATATTCTTTGGATCAACATGGAAAATTTAATTTAGGAAAAAATAATTAATTCTATTTTAGGAAAATTAATACTAGGTACCGGCAATTTGTTAGGTTGATGTGAAGAGTATTCCGAATTACCTTACCTGAAAATCCTTACTGCACAAACAAATCATGAAATATTTAATTTGTGTATGTGTTTTATATATGATCTAAATAGTAAGTCCAGTAAAAATATATTGGGAAACATAAAAAGAAAGAAAATTAATTTTTTTATTTAATATAATATGAATACAATTAAACTTTAGGCTGGCCCAGCCCAGCTTACGGCTCGGCCTACATTGAGCCCAGTCTAGGCCCGGCCTTTCAGAAAAATAGAGTAGGCTTAGGCTTATAAAAAAACTTTTTTAATAAATAGGCCATAGGCCAATTTTGTCAAGCCCGGCCTACAGCCTTGTAGGCTGGCCTATTTAATTTATTAAAATAAAATAATAAAATAATATTTATTTTATGTGGCAAAGACACAAAGTACCAAATACCAATATCTCTTAGTTTTTGTGCTATTTTATTTTATGAAAGGAAAACTTGTCTAATGTCTCCAAATTTTATATGTTGTTGCAGCTTAATACCATGGAGCAATGATGTTACTGATGAAGATCTTTCAATAATACTCTTCTTTCCCTTGTCTTGATGGTGGTTTAAAGATTTTTAGATGAATGACATTCTCTTGTAGACTTTATTTCAGCATCCAGTAATTGTTTTTTTCTTATTTTTCCCATTTCTTTGACTCTATTCCTCTATGATATACATTCTAGAGCTGAGGTATTATGTTGACTTATTTCTTGTTTGTCATTTTTTTCTTATGAGAACACTAGTGCATGCATGAATGAAACTTTCTTTGCTCTATACAATTATTATTTTTTGCTTAGTATGTATAGTGGGAGGCCTACAAGGCCTGTAGGCCATGTCATGCTTTCTTATTTTTGAAAATAGGCCGGGCTTAGCCTACAAATAAAGCCTTGGATAGGCCTGTAGGCTAGATAGGCTGAATTTTTTTGACGTAGGCTTCCAGCCCAGCCCATTTACACCCCTAGGTATAATGCTGTAAATTTCGTACACCAAAAAACTAAAGTTATCTATTTAAAAAAATGGATCTATTAATCTCATGTTGCATGAGATAATTATCTCATGCAACATAGAAAAGATAGTGAGCTCCACCATTTGTAAAAAAAAATAAAAAATAACGTAGACCCCACTACTTTGTCTCTGTTGCATGAGATAATTATTTCCCTTAAAAATATATATAAAATTTATTAAAATGTGCAAGTAATATATGGATTCTTAGCTATAATTTGTGCGAAATATTCTTATTTATTCATACAATAAAGTTCATTAATCTCCTTACTAAATATTTGAATATTGTGATATTTTAATGTTTTTCATTACTAATTAAAATTTATTTAATTTCCATAATAAGAATTCTCTTAAATTTAAAATTATGATAATTAAAATAAAATATTTATAACTATAATATAAGTTACTGAGATTATGTGTATATATTGATAATAACAAACACTGAAATTCGTTAGTGGATTTAGCTCTGTCAATTATTTTAATGAACTTTTTTTTTATGGTGATTCTTTTTTTTTTTTTTAGAGTTACCCAACCCTAATTATCTCTTTGAGACGAGTTGGCTCCCTCCGGTATCTCCACGAGCTTCGACTCTTTGAGCCGGCTAAGGGACTAATCCGGAGTGCGGGGGAACAGTGATGACTAAAGGTTCAGCCCCCTCCCCAAGATTTTTATGGTGATTCTTATATTAATGAACTTTAACCGAACATTTTAGTACATGAGCTATGAAGTGATCTTATATGTTATTAAATCCGATAATATTATTATGTTTATTTATTTATAAAAATATATTTCCAATTCATGTAAAAACAAAGAAGAACAAAATTCATAATATAAATATGAGAATGATGAAAAATTATATTGAGGTTTTATATTCACTTGAAAATAATTTTCATTTATGATGACTATGCATCAAAATATTTCGAGTTTTTTTTTTCTAATCTTAATTAAGAATAAATAAATGTTTAATATTTACAATATGTAAAAGTATTTGTGCGTATGTATAGCTCTCTATCTATCTATATATATCCACATATATATTAATAAGAGAAAAGTGTTTGTCATTTTAAATGACATAAAATTATATCATTTTAAGTAAGGGTGTTCATCAACCAATCCAAACCGATTCAAACCACGGTAACCGAACCGAAAAATCGATAACCGAAAAATCGAAAATCGAAAAACCAAAAACCAATTAAAAACTGCAAATTTTAATTAGATTAGATCGGTTTTTGGATGGGTTGATGAAAACTGATCCAATCCAAACCGATCCAATATATTAATTTTTCTCTACCTACTTGGGTCTTTCCCTAATCATAGCCTAAAAATTTCTAAACCCAAGACCCATTAACCCATCAACTAAACCCAAGAAAAAATCTAGTCACATCTCATCAACAAAAATTTTATTTTTGTAGAGCTTCATATCTCATTACAAAAAAAAAAAACTATACTATAGTTTACTAATGCTTTTGTATTTCAAAAAAAAATTACAAAGCCAATATATACAAAATATGTTATTTGCACAATAATCATGAAATAAATTTTAGGATTTTCAAAAAACCGAAAACCGATCCAATCCAAACCGAAAAAAATTGGATTGGATTGGATCAGATTTGAAAAAAAATCAAAACCGAATGGATGATTATATGATCAAACCGAAGGAATTGGATCAGATGATTTTTACTTTCAAAACTGATCCAATCCAGACCGCGAACACCCCTAATTTTAAGAGAGATAGACACAAGAAATTATTTTTTATTAAAAATTTAAATTAAAAAAACCACCCACTTTCTCTCCTATGATTTTCATTTCTTGTGTCTATCTCTCTCCTAAAAAGACATAACTTATATCATTTAAAATGACAAACATCAAACTCATTAATAAAATATTATTTAACCAATATTTTTATATTGGGTTTGGTGTTTGTCATTTTAAATGACATAAGTTATGTCATTTTAGGAGAGAGATAGACACAGAAAAACAGAAATCATGGGAGAGAGAAAGTGGATGGTTTTTTTAATTTAAAATTCAAATAATTTTTTTTATGTGTCTGTCTCTCTCTTAAAAAGTTAAAATGACATAACTTTATGTCATTTAAAATGACAAACACTTTTTCCTTTTATATTTGTATATAATAAGATTAAAAATAATTTTCATCATTGTTATAATCTATATTCAAGAAATTTTTAAAAATTTATTTCATAAATTTGTTATATTTAAGATAATAAATATTATAAATTGGTGGAACTTACAAAAAAAAAAATAACAACTAATGTATGATAATATAGGTAAACCCAATAAGAGTATGGATTCAAATCCCGCTGGCCGATGTGATAATTTTGTTGGTGGATGATATATAATCTTCTCGAAAATCCTCAAAGAGATTGGGGGTCTTTCCTGACCGGCTGACCCTAGAGATAACCGGTGTCTAACTCCACTTAAATTATTTTACACCAAAAAAATATATATATAGGTAAATAACTATTTATTATTCTTGACGAAAACAGAAATTAAGTGTTCGGCATGTATTCACGCTTCATACCTACCGATCCTTCGACAATCCGCGTCATGCCTTTATTAAAGGATTGAGTTTATTCGGTACCCTTTTGAAATTATTTTTTTAAAATTACAAATTAAGTAATAAAATTTCCAGATAGAGTAATAAAATTACAACCTTTATTATTTATTACTTCATAACTGTTAATCCTTTTTACTTAATTTATAATATTTAACATAAAATTTAGAATTAAGAAAAAAAGAAATATTTTTACTAGCAAAAAAATTCACTATCAATCCACTACCTATCTAATCATCGTTGAATTTTCTTTCTCTCCATAAATTTTTTAGCATTCTCTCTAATCCAATAACAACTATAAGTAACAAATTTGTAATGAATTTTTTTAATAGTAATATCTTGACTCTTGAAAAAAACATAGATAGTCACTTTTTTTATAACAGAAAAGTACGAAATGAACCCAATAATCAAACGTTAAAGTTTTGCTATAAAACAGACATGACAACCGGAAAATACCATCATCATCATAATCAAAATTCATAGAAAAAATATTCTCCCTCTGCCTCTATTCCCTTGCATTCATCTCTCTCTTTCTACCTAACCTATCAAACATCCATGGCTACCTCATCTGCTATTACAAAAGAGAGCAACAACCAAGGGGGTATGAAAAATATTGAACCCTTTTGTGTTTTCATTTCTTAATTTTCTGTTGCTAGAATTGATCTTTCTGGCTTAGTAATTTGTTTCTGTTTATATATATATATATATGCACAACAACAGTTGTTGAGAAACCAATAGCACTTGATCAAAACGTTCTGCAAAAGCACGTTGCATTCTTTGACAGGAATCAAGACGGCATCGTTTATCCATGGGAGACTTTCCAAGGTTTTTATTTTTTTTTATTTTTTTAATATATTTCCTTAAAGAAACAGGAACTGAAATAAAGAAAGGAGAGAAATAACAGAACAATAACCGTAGATGATTTAATTTGATGAATTTGCGTTAAATTATATATGAAAATACTGGTTCTCTTACTTGCAGGATTTCGTGCAATAGGTTGTGGGATCCTGTTATCTACTTTTGCTTCTATCTTCATCAATTTTGGTCTCAGTCAGAAAACACGCCCGGTACTATTTCTCTCTTTCCTCTCCCCAAAATTTGTTATGATTATTATCACGGAGAAGTATCCGTTTACAAACTTGTTTGACAAATTTTTATCGTGGTTAATGCTTAATTTCATGCGGGATTGCTAAGGAATTAGGGTTCCAATTGGATTAAAGGGTTAGATTACCAAGTATTGAGATTTAACTAATTATTTTAGATGATAATTTATTTGAGTTATTAAAATGAATGATCATTTTTAATCAATCCAAAATTTAAACCGGAGATCATATGATGCGTGTATCTTAGCTGCAATGTCTTTTATTATTCTCTCAAAAATCCAAATTTTACCATTGCTTCTTAAATTGAAAATTATATTTTAAATTTTTATCTTTATTTTACCATCAATTTACTATTTTCCAAAAACAACCTAGTTTTTCAACTTAAGGGGACTGATTATTGTGGTACTTGGTTTACAATCCCTGTGGAGACGATACTTTACTTACTCATTATATTATTTATGCGATCGGTACACTTGCCGGTGAGCATCAAGTTTTTGGCGCCGTTTCCGTTAGTCTTCTCGCGGGAGAAGATAATATAATTTGTAAACAAAAAAGTTTGTAAATATAACTTGCCTCTATTATTATTATTATTGGTTTTGTGATGAGTAAGTGTTTTTTCATTTTAAGTGGCATAATTTGTGTCATTTTTAATAAAATTAAAAATTATATTGTTTTGGTGTGTTTTTGATATGAAAAAAATATTTTACCATGTGTCATTTGAAATGACAAATACTTTTCCTGTTTGTTATTATTATTTGGTAATTGTAATGATAATGTTATTTACATAATTGATGCTAATGAAGTTTCTCGTCAGTGCTTTTTCATATGAATGTGGGGGAAAGGAAAATTCGATTCCATAACAAGATAATAAATAAAGAAAATAGGAATAGGAATCATATTCTTATTTCACAGTTTGATACAATCAAAAATAAATTAACATAGAAACTGATTTTGCAATTTCACGTATGAAATTCAATATAGAAGTTATAAATTTGATGCAAATGAAACAAAAATTTAGTTCACGAAATGTTTATAGTTATTCTTTCTTTTCAACACTTTTCCTTATAATGAAAATTTTATAGCATGGCCTTATACTTTATGATATTTGCATAATATTTATCCTAATATTGTCCGGCATGTAAAAACTTTAAGAAAAAAGTTAAGTGAATATTAAATCAGGATATATTAGAAAAATATATAAAACTCTATTTCATAACAAATATGGAATCTTACGTTTTTTTAGAGGAATTGATGAGATTTTATAAATTTGTAAAATGAGTTTTAGAATAAAATAAAGATGTCATTCTATAATTTTTTGTTTATTTTTAAAGATTTAGCTTCTCTAAATTTGAAATTCATTTTAAAATATTTCACTTCAGAGTTAATTTTATTTTTTCTGCAAAGAAATATAAGAATCTTTTGGTTTCAATATATTAAATACGAAATGATATATACTTTATTCTTTTACGTCAAACTTGATATTTAATTTATTAGCAATTTTCTATAAATATTATCTATAAGTATCATTATATATTCTAGAATTTATAATTTTTCCTAACCTTAATTTGAAATAAATAGTCCTTAAACTTTATATTAAAATACATATATAAAGATGTAACATCAAAGAAAGGAATATCAAACATAAGGCATAAAAGGAACTCAGATAAGGAACGGGCATAAAGATTAAAGAGCTGTAAAGTAGAATAAAGAAAAGTAAAGGAGAATATGTGGGGTTCATGAATAGGCATCTCTTGCCGTACTGAAAATTGTGTTTGCTCACAAAAACCTTGAAGACTAATTTATGCTCTCGAAATTGTAATCAAATCAAACATTTTTCCTCTACTGATTCATGCAAGTAAGATTTAGGTATGTCATGTTAGGTACCTTGAACATAAATAAAGTAATTTTAAACTTAAAAATTAGAAATACTGTAGGAAAAATAAAAGTACTTGAAACCTACTAAAGACAAAAGTGGCTTCGATCGTCTTATTACTCTTTGCACAAACTTGTGGCCTTAATTTGATTTTGAGGATGTTTATGAATGAATTCTCTATAATTTTTTTTATAAATACTTTTTAAATTAGGACAGTCATGGCCTCAGATTAAGTTTTTGTTTTGCAAAGAAAAATATCTATAACGTACCACTTGCTATATTGTTAATTTAAATGTAGGGATTAAATCTATAAAGAACCTCATGAATAATGGAAAATAATTTATATTCAAATATCGAGATTCTTTATTGATAGGAGATATATGATCTCATAGTAAATTATCAATAGATTTACTAATTATCTTGATCTTAAAAGGCAAATTTTTTTCTCTAATCTTAACTATTTAGTTTTTCTCATAAAATGTATCAAAAATAAAAAAATTCTCATAAAATATAAATACTATTAAATTTAGGGTTTAGAGTTTGTTTTTTTAAAGTACATAAAATTATGTCATTTTAAGTGAGAGAAAAACACAAGTAATGAAAATCATGGAAGAGAAAGTGAGTGATTTTTTTTTAAATTTTGATTTTAATAAAAAAAAATAGTAGGTTGTGTTTTTCTCTTACTTAAAATGACATAACTCAATGTCCTTTAAAAGAATAAATATTTTCCCCTTAAATTTATGATAATATAATTTTAGGAAAAGATCCGTTTACAAATTTTTTTTACAAATTACATTATGTATTTCTGAAAGTACATAGTGTTAACCTAGTGTTAGTGTACATCCGGGAATACATAATGTTATTGGTAAGAATTTGTAAACAAAAAGTTTGTAAATATAATTCTCCCCTATAACTTTTTAATACTTATATTTATAGTAATATTAATAGAGGAGGGATATTCTCACTACTAAAATTTTTCACCACCAACTTACTACGTATTTAATCACCTTTAGATTAACATTTTTTCTTTCTTCAAAAACATTTTGACATTCTCATCCAATGATGATGTGATGGGTAATAAGTTAATACTAATAGTAAGAATTTTTGATATTTAAAATATCCTTACTCATATTAATAAGAGATAAATTAGAATCGTGTTGCACGAACAAGATTGCTGTCATGCAACACCTATCGACAAGGCAAAGTCATTGAAGAAAGTGTATCTTCCACTTTCTTTAATATTATTTTCTTTGTCTATTTTTGTGGCGGGAATAAAAATTTCTTCTAGCAACAGGACGAAATGAAACCCCTATTACTATTAGTAAATGGTTGAAATGAATAAAAGTTTCTAGATATTCGGTGCTTGCTTTTCTTTACATCATAATAATGTTAAGGTCATGTATATGAAAGGAGCTTTATCAATTGAAAATTAAGTCACACTTGTTGGAAAACGACAACTTCTGCTGTCAACGGAGATAACAGTCCATGTCAGTTAGTAAAACGGCAGTTTCAGTAAAAAAAAAACTGTGACCTCTTATGTTTTTTTCCTTATAGTTCTTTCTATAACGAAAGATAAAGGCACAAAATCAAGTTTAATAAGTTCATACAAATAAAGGTATGTCTTAATATAATTATTTCTATTTTTTATTAATATAAAATTAAAAATATAAGAGAATCCAAATTTACTGTATGTATTCTTAAGTCTTTTGCTTTATAATCATAAGATGGTTAATGCTTTCAGGGAGAAGGAATGAATGGGAAAAAAAAACAAATTATTATTCCTCTTGTAATTTTAGACATATATTATTAGAAATAAGGCAGAATGCTTTTATTATACTTGAAAATATTAAATGCACGTTTTTAATGGAGCAAATTTGTTTCTGCTATTATTTACTGGCTTGTTTTTACCTGGCTGTTACGATCTTATGATGTTGTAGGGTAAGTTTCCTTCTATACTGCTACCCATTGAAGTTAAAAACATCCATAAAGCCAAACATGGAAGTGACTCTGGTGTCTATGATAGCGAAGGAAGGTAGATATTGTTTCATATGTATATGCCAAAATTTGATTAATTCTTCTTAACATCTTCATGAAAAAAAAAAAAAAAACTAAGGCTAATGAATTGTTTGAATTATTTGTTTTTAATTTTCCATATTAATTGGTTAACTAATTTTTATTTTTTGCTTTGCTAGGGAATAACTTATTTTTAATTTACCTTTTAATAGTTAATCTGACTTCATATATAATTTGTGAAATACATAAATAATTTCAGAACATATATAATGTCAATACTATCTGTATATAAAGTATTAAAAAGACCATCATCCAACATTTTAAGATTTTGGGTTGAAATAGTTCTTTACATTGTATCAGAACTTCAGTGACCATAAGGTCACGAGTTTGATCCTCATCGCCCCGTTTGTGGAATTAAATAAGCATCAGGTAAGCAAAATAAAAAAAATTAGGCATATGCAATATTCACGTTTCAAGCCCAAATGGCTCTTCCGTGAGGGGATGCGTTAGAAAATAATATAAATAATTAAAAAGACCTTCACCCAACACTTTACAATTTTTGGTTGAAATGGTTCTTTACATGTATGCTTACTCAAGCTTGTGACTTTTAGGTTTGTTCCTTCAAAATTTGAAGAAATTTTCAGCAAGCATGCACGAAAAGATCCAAATGCTTTAACATCTGATGAATTGATGGGGATGCTAAAGGAAAATAGAGTTCCTAAGGATTTCAAGGGATGGTAAGTTTGTCGTATAAAATACTGAATGATTTTTGTTAGTGTTTATAATTTGTGGTGAATACATGAATTTTAAATTGCTACCATCTGATTTTCAGGCTTGCTAGTTACACAGAATGGAAGATCTTATATGTTCTTTGCAAAGATAAGGACGGTTTACTTCACAAAGAAACTGTTCGAGCTGTTTATGATGGGAGCCTGTTTGAAAAGATGGAAAAGGAACACTCAGAAAAGAAAAATAAATAATTAATACACATTCATATATATGACTAATGTAGGGACACAAGCTTCTCTGGATTTCTGGTTGAGTGCCTTCAAAGAGTTTGATTTATAGGTTGTGATAGTCCTATGTGTGTATGAATGTGGATATTAAGGAATGGATTTTTATTTTTTTTTACATGAATGGGATTCTTAAGTATCTGCCTTGATTTAGTTAGATGAATTGTTTAGTTCAGATAATTTTATGTTTGATGTTTTTGCCCCACCAATTAAATCCCTTCAACTTTGGTTTAAATGAAAACTATAACCGCAATTTAATACTTTTCCACCGCCAAACTGAACCAACATATGAGACTGTCATTGTAGCTATGTGGGGGTTTATTTTTCTCAAATACAATGTGTTTCTGTATGGAAATATGGTCGTCTTAGAAATTCAAAAAAAAAAATCCTTTTTTTTTTTCGGTACATAAAAAAAGACGAACTGATTCCGTTGTATAATTGACTAAATTAGAAAGATAGTGTGAATTGACACGAGCCGAAAAAAAGTTCATGTATGGAAATATGGTCGTCTTGGAAATTCAAAAAAATTAATCCTTTTTTTTTTCGGTACATAAAAAAAGACGAACTGATTCTGTTGTATAATTGACTTTATTTTAGAAAGATAGTGTGAATTGATACGAGCCGAAAAAAAGTTCACGTATGGAAATATGGTCGTCTTGGAAGTTCAAAATTTAATCCTTTTTTTTTTTCGGTACATAAAAAAAGACGAACTAATTCTATTGTATAATTGACTTTATTTTAGAAAGATAGTGTGAATTGATACGAGCCGAAAAAAAGTTCATTTCATATTTGTATTTAGTGCGCACTAAATAATCATAATATATACATATATATATATATATATATATATATATATATATATATATATATATATATATTAAAAAACCATCCACTTTTTCTCTCCTATGATTTCTATTTTTCTGTGTCTATCTCTCCTAAAATGACATAACTTATGTTATTTAAAATGACAAACAACAAACCATATATATATATATATATATATATATGGAAAAATATTTCTCAAGCAGCTTGAGATAAGTTTATCTCCAGCCACTGTTGTAAAACCCGGCCCCACCCGGCCAGGTCGACCCGGAACCCAGTGAACCGGTCATCAGACCGGTTCGGGTTAAGCATTAGACCGGTCATGCATCGATCCGGTCAAAATCCAGACAAACTCGGCCAAACCCAGTGACTCGACGACCCGGTGACCCGGTCGGGTCATGCATTTAAAAAAAAAAACTGTTTCATCTTATAAAAAAATGTAAAATTCATTTTAAAAACTTTTTGTAATTTTATTTGCCAGTATACTCTTTTACAATGACCTCTTAGTTTCCAATACTGAAGCAATTTGTGGAATAATAAATTAGAGAATGTGACATATGTCATTTTAATATAGTTGAATTTGAAAAATATGAGTTCAATGTCATCGAGAGGTATGTTTATGGAAATTCTGAGGTACAATTTAGATTGACATAGTAATAGCATGCACTTTTATTTATTTATGCTTCATGTTTTTTAGCTTATTTAGTGAACATTGTTTAATTCATTTTTGATATGAGAATATAATTGAATTTATATGTTCATATTTTTATATATCTATATATATCAGGGTCAACTGATTCGACTAGTGACCCACCGGTCCGACCAGTGACCCAGTATCCCGACCGAGTCGATGCCCGGGTCGGGTTTAACAACATTGTCTCCAGCTACCCCAAAACTATGTCGTCTTATTTATTTATTTCCTTATATTAATTGATTCACCTTTGAATTGTTATGATTCCCTTTTTCTCTCTCTTCCTTTATCACCATTGATCCATCTTTGTACGGTTATGATTTAGTAGCCGAAAATAAGATTATCTCAAGCAGCTTGAGAAACTATAAGTCCATATATATATATAGGGATAAGATCTTTTGATATCGGTGTCAAACTAAAAAAGTTTGACATCAAATTCTAACTGTTGATTTCATAAATCTTATAATTTATTATTTCACACTTATTAATTAATTATTAATTCTCAATAAATAAAAGGTAAATCCTACAGGTATGACACACATTCTCTCTTACTGTTATGTTGTCATTATGCACATACACCACCCCTTGGCTATGCCATTATCCTTAGTGCTCTGTGATCTACTACCTTTAAAAATATCTCCCTCATAGATACCCGATAGAGCCCTTAAATCCAAGAGAAATCAACTAGTTTTGATTAGACATCCTTATCTCAAAGATGAAACATTGGCGTCGTGTGTGACTAATGGTAAATTTCGATTTCCATCGCAAATATGGTGAACACAAGAAGCAGCAACCACCACTATCACCATCTCTGCCACCGCATACGAATCTCGTCTTAATGGAGTAACCTCTCGACGAACATGAACCCGACAACAGACTTGATTCGATTACAATGTCATCTCTGAGACTGCCTTACCTAACCCGCCGACGCAACCCGTACCAGTTCAGCCACCCCCAACGGCGGACGTAGACAACTGAATCACGTAGACCACCCTCAACGCGATCCAACAGCATATGGAAGAGATAGAGAACTGCAACCAGATCCAGAGGCAGATAGATACCCAGAGGATCCAGGAACTAGAAGAGTGTCTGCTCCAAAGGAGTAACCCAGAACAAGTAGCTGCCCAAGTCCAAGGTGATTGAAACAGAAGAAGAGATAGAGGCTAACGTAAAGACCACGACAGAAATGGAGGAACTGGAGGCACAATGGAAATGAAGAAAGCAACCAAGGTCGAGATAACAACAACGACCAAGGTAGAGAGGATGGCGGAGCGCAGAACGTTGATCACAATCGAGATATTGCAATCCAAGACCGAGGTGAGAGAGGTGCATATAGAAGGAAGTATCATAGGGGCCAATACAATAATAGCTCTTTCTATGACTTCATCGTCAATGCACCATACCCCAAAGGATGGAACATGACACATTTGGCAAAATATAACGGGAGTTGTGATCTAGAGGTTCATCTCGACGTATTTGACACAAATAAGTAAGTAAAGGGAATCGATGAGCCAATCATTTCCCATATCTTCGCATCTACATTGATAGTAGTCGAATTGACATGGTTGTCCAAACCGCCACCAAATTCAATAGGATCATTTGAAGAGTTTGCAAACAAGTTCCTGTTTAACTTTGCTACAAGTAAAAAGCATCTTATGTCCGAGTTCACCTTGGGAACAATAAAACAAAAACAAAAAGAGACACTCCAGAAGTACCTACACCACTTCAAGAACGCGACCTTGCAAGTCTTGGGTCTGAAGGAAAGTGTGCATTTGCATCGGGTGGTGGCAGGGCTAGATGGTGCATCCCGGCTGGCGAGATCTATTTATAAAGAGCTAGTGAAAACATTGGAGGAATTTAGATCTAGATCGAAGAAGTACCTAGAGCTGGAGCAGATAGAGTTGGCAAATGCCACTATAAAAGAAACTATGAGAAGCCGCAGTCCTCAGACAAGAAGCTCGGCTAGAAGAGAGAAAGATCGATCATGGAATATAAGGTAGACCGACTTTTAAGGAAAGGGCTCAAACTAACGAACTCTGAGAGGAAGATATGAATATACCCCGTTAAACGTACCACGTTCCCAGATTTGGAGAGGCTGAGGCCAATTTTCAATAGAGGCAAGGTTGATCTCTCTCGATACTGCAATTTCCATGACGGACCTGGCCATACCACTGATGAGTGCTGAGATCTTCAAGATGCGATCGAGAAACACATTAGGGAAGCAAGTTGCGCCAATACCTGATCAGAACACAAGGATGGAAAAACCACAAAAGGATGCAGAGAGGCCGCAGCAAGAGTCAGAGCCGACAAAAGAAAGGAAGAAAAGAAATGAAAAAGGCAAGAAGCCAGAAACCTATACTAATGAGTTTCCAAAATAGGGTTCGATTGTAATGTGATAAATGGAGCCCTATGCGGTGGAGGAGACACAACGAGCGTAAGAAACAAGTACCTCAGAGAGGTTCTCTCGATTAGAGATCGACCTAAATACAAAGAAGGTTATAGCAAGCCGGAAACCTCCACTTCACTAAGGCAGAGCTCAAGGACGTGGTCCCAGGACACGTGGATAGGTTAGTCATAACAGGGACCTTAGTGAACTGCCGGATTAAAAAGGTCTTTGTGGACCCAGGAAATTGTACAGACATCATCTTTTAAGATGCATTCAAAAGGATGAACCTGGATGAAGAAGACTTGAAACCCTGTACGTTGATTGCCTTCAACTGAGAACACATTCTCCCTAATACATAGACCTCAGGCTGACTTTGAGGACTAAAGAATCTTATAAATTGGGCCGGGTAAGGTTTATTATTGTTAATTTCCAGTCACCATATAACATATATTAAGGCGGCCAACTATTCACGGGTAGGACATGCTCGTATCCATCAAACATCAGAAGTTGAAGATGATGAGCAATAAGAATGAGGTCGTCACCATTAAAGAAGATCAAAAGAATCGCAGGAATGTTATTATTAGTCCGTAAAGGCGAGTGAAGGTGGACCTTCATCTCCACCCCGAATTCAACCAAGAGAAAAAACTAGAAATCAAGGAGTCGCTACCCAGACAGGATACCCTGTGAACATGGTCGAGTTGGACATGCGAGAAGAGACCCTGATGCCGAGTCCAGAACCAGATGGGGAATTAGAAGAACTAGCCCTAAGGGAAGATCTCGAAAAATGTAGTAAGATCGGTAGGGCATTGTATCCAGTCGTGAAAGCAGGACTGGTCGATTTCTTAAAGAAGAATAAAGACGTGTTCGCATGGAAATCATCGAAAATCCCCGGAATCAGTCTTAGATTCTGTTGCCATAAACTGGAAATTTATCCCATATCCACTCTGGTTGCTCAAAAGAAAAAGAAGCTATGACCAGAAAGGCGGAGGTGATGTCTTATGAATGTAAGTAAGAAACTCTCTATTCAGGTTAGTCGGTGAGTGTGGGGCTTTCCTTAAGAAAATGGTTCCTAAGAGTGATGACTCTTAGAAGCACCCATGTGAACCTCCTTAAAAGAAATGGTTTCTTTGAGTATACCTCGTGGAGGTGTTTAGATAGATAAAAAGGTTCCCTGACTTGGATTGTAGGTAGGATTCTTAATTAAGGTACGAGGCTTCCTTGGAATATGTTCCTCGGAGGTATTATCCTCAGAAG